GTCAGGAGCTTGTAGTTCAGTGGTTGTCGTTGGTTCATGTCTGTCATATTTGTTTTTCGTAAACTGTTTTGTTATAAATTAGGCCGTTAGTTTTCTCAATTGAATTGTTTCATATTTTTCATGTCAGGGCCTTTTATAGCCGACCATACGGTATGGGTTTTTTTGTTGAAGGCCGTACGGTTGCCTATAATTGCTTACATCCACTTCATTTGAACTTTGGTGGATAGTTGCCTCATTGGCAATCATACCACATCTCCTTATTTTTATATAGTACAGTAATAATAGCAAATCCTTTTATTTTACATATACAACTTCCAAACCATATTATTGTGAAAAGTTGAAAGCTTCTGATATATGAAAGGAATGTATCTCATGAACAGTCAACCATCTAGACATCTGATGTATAAAAATCATGCTTCTGTCTTATTTTTAAATAAATGTGGATAGTGTCCACATGTGGACACAGATGATGCCCCCGCTTGCATATCATATAGTTATAAAGGACATAACTGAAAAACGGTAAAAGTGACGCTACCCAAATTTGAACTTGATCTGAGTGTTGTGGTAATAAGCATTGTGTGTAAGTCTCATAACATTTGGTTGAGGCTAACTTAAGTAGAGAACAGAAACTAAAATTTCAGCAATTTTTATATTGGTATGACGTTTGCGTCGTCGTCCGAAGACACATTGGTTTTCGCACTCTAACTTTAATTTAAGTGAATCGATCTCTAGGATATTTTACCATAAGGTTCAATACCACAAAAGGAAGGTTGGGGTCAATTTTGGGGTTATGGTACCACCAGTTAAGGAATTAGGGGCCAAAAAAGGGGCCAAAAATAAGCATTTTTGTAACTTCCAGACAATAACTTGTATGTTAGTGTATGGATCTCTCTGACATTGTACCACAAGGGTCCATATCACAAAGGGAATGCTGGGATTGATTTTGGGGGTAATTGCCTCAAAATTTAAGGAATTAGGGGCCAAAAAAGGGGCAAAAAACAAGCATTTTTTTAGTTTCATGACAATCACTTGTGTGTTAGTGTATTGATATTTCTGAAATTGTACTACAAGGTTCCATATCACAAAAGAAAGCTGAAATTGAGTTTGGGGGTAATTGCCCATAACGTTTGGGAATAAGGGGCCGAAAAAGAGACCAAAAATAAGCATTTTTCTAGTTTCCAGACAGTAACTTGTGTTCAAGTGTATGGATCTCTCTGAAATTGTACTGCAAGGTACCATACCACAAAGGGAAGGCTGGGATTGATTTTGAAGGTAATTGCCTCAAAATTTTAGGAATTAGGGCCAAAAAGTGGCAAAAAACAAGCATTTTTCCAGTTTCAGGACAATAAATTGTGTGTAAGTGTATGGATCTTTATGAAATTGTACTACAAGATTCCATATCACAAAGGGAAAGCTGGGTTTGAGTTTGGGGGTAATTGCCCTAAACGTTTAGGAATTTGGGGCCAAAAAACATTTTTCTAGTTTCCAGACAATAACTTGTGTTCAAGTGTATGTATCTCTCTGACATTGTACTGCAGGGTACCATACCACAAAGGGAAGGCTGGGATTGAGTTTGAGATTGATGAATCATAAGGGGGTTCAAAAAATGGGGGGTGGATTTTTTTTTCCTTTTTTTTTCTTTAAAATTTTCCATTTTAAATTGGTTATTTATGATTAATATTTAAAAGCAAATAATAATGATAATGATGAATGTCCAATTTCAAATTTTTAATTTCTTAGACCACATTCATTCTGTGTCAGAAATCTATGCTGTGTCAAATATTTAATCACAATCCAAATTCAGTGCTGTATCAATCTTGAATGTTGTGTCCATACTTGCCCCAACTGTTCAGGGTTCGACCCCTACAGTCCTATCAAGCTGAGCCCAGCGGAGCATTTTATTCTATTTGTAAACACGCCTAACTCTAGAACGGTTGTGTATAAGTTTTATAACATTTGGTTGAGACAAACGAAAGTTAGAGAATGGAAACGAAAAATTCAGCAATTTTTATGTTTATAAAGGGACATTACTCAAGAATGGTAAAAGTGTCGCCACCAAATTTCGTACTTAATCTGTATTATGTAGTAATAAGCATTGTGTATAAGTTTCATAACATTTGGTTGAGGCAAACTCAAGTTAGAAAACGGAAACAAAAAATTTGTACTTGATCTTAGTTTTGTGGTAATGAATATTGTGTATAGGTTTCATAATGTTTGGTTGGGGCAAACTTAAGTTACAGAATGGAAACTAAAAATTTTGCAATCTTTCGATTTATAAAGGGGCATAACTCAATAATGGTTAGAGTGACACTACCCAAATTCAACTTGATCTGTGTTTTATCAGTGGAAGTCAAAATTAAACATTGCATTGTATAAAGCATTGATTGTAGTTGATTCAACAATAATCATGGACAAAGGAAGATAACTCCAATTTTAACAAATACTTGATATTTAGAAGAAAATAAAAGTTTTGCAATTTTTCCATTTATAAAGGGGCATAACTCTAGAACCTTTAAAGTGACGTCACCAAAATTCAAACTTGATCTGTGTTTTGTGGTAATAAGCATTGTGTATAATTTCATAACATTTGGTTGAGGGAAACTTAAGTTAGAGAATGGTAACTAAACATTTTGCTATTTTTCCATTTATAAAGGGGCATATCTCTAGAACGTTTAAAGTGATGCCACCAAAATTCAAACTTGATCTGTGTTTCGTGGTAATAAGCATTGTGTATAAGTTTCATAACATTTGGTTGAGGCAAACTCAAGTTAGAGAATGGAAACCAATTTTGGGACGTACGTACAGATGGACAAGGGTAAAACTTAATGCCCCCACCGCTACAGCTGGGGCATAATTCGTATATAAAAATAGAGGCTCTCAAGAGCCTGTGTCGCTCACCTGATTCTACTTTGGTTTTGGAAATCATGTAAAAATAGATTAAAATCATAACAGATACCCTAATTAATGAGTGAGGCCAAATTTGGTTTAATATTGGTCCTGTAATTTAATAAAAAATCCTGGTGGCCAACAGTAAATCGGCAACAAAGTAGCAACACTTAATCAGCACCTCATAAGAAACATTTATGCCATGTTTTGGTTTCATTCCATTCAGTGCACCTCTAGAAGAAGCATTTGTATGTATTTCCCATAGGGTCTTATGTTAAAGGAAGTCCCCCCATTGGCGGCCATCATGGATGAAGGATCAGCTTCAAAGTAACAAAACTTAGTCAGCACCTCATAAGGAACATTCATGCCATGTTTGGTTTCAATCCATTCAGTATGTGGTTCTCTAAAAGAAGACATTTGTATGTATTGTCCATAGGGTCCCATGTTAAACATTGTCCCCATCTGGCAGCCATCATGGATGAAGGATCAGCTTCAAAGTAACAACACTTGGTCAGCACCTCAAAAGGAACATGCATGCCATGTTTGGTTTCATTCCATTCAATGGTTCTCTAAAAGAAAACATTTGTACGTATTTCTCATAGGGTCCTATTTTAAACTAAGTCCTATGCTGGCGGCCATCTTAGATTATGGATCGGCTACATAGTAACAACACTTGGTCAGCACCTCATAAGGAACATTCATGCCATGTTTGGTTTCATTGCATTCAGTGGTTCTCTAAAAGAAGACATTTGTATGTATTTCTCATAGGGTCCCATGTTAAACTAAGTCCCCCGCTGGCTGCCATCTTGGATGATGGATCAGTTTCAAAGTAACAACACTTGGTCAGCACCTCATAAGGAACATTCTTGCCATGTTTGGTTTCATTCCATTCAGTGGTTCTCTAAAAGAAGACGTTTGTATGTATTTCCCATAGGGTCCCATGTTAAACTAAGTCCCCCGCTGGCGGCCATCTTGGATTATGGATCGGCTTCAAAGTAACAATACTCGGTCAGCACCTCATAAGGAACATTCATGCCATGTTTGGTATCATTCCATTCAGTGGTTCTCTAAAAGAAGACATTTGTATGTATTTCTCATAGGGTCCCATGTTAACAAAGTCCCCTGTAGGCGGCCATCTTGGATTATGGATCGGCTTCAAAGTAACAACACTCGGTCAGCACCTCATAAGAAACATTCATGCCATGTTTGGTTTCATTCCATTCAGTGGTTCTCTAAAAGAAGACATTTGTATGTATTTCCCATAGGGTCCTATGTTAAACTAAGTCCCCCGCTGGCGGCCATCTTGGTTTATGGATCGGCTTCAAAGTAACAACACTCGGTCAGCACCTCATAAGAAACATTCATACCATGTTTGGTTTCATTCCATTCAGTGGTTCTCTAAAAGAAGACATTTGTATGTATTTCCCATAGGGTCCCATGTTAAACTAAGTCCCCCGCTGGCGGCCATCTTGGATGATGGATCCGCTACAAAGTAACAACACTTGGTCAGCACCTCATAAGGAACATTTATGCCATGTTTGGTTTCATTCCATTCAGTGGTTCTCTAGAAGAAGTTCAAAATGTAAAAAGTTAACGCTCACGACGACAGACGACGCCGGACAACGGACGCCAAGTGATGAGAAAAGCTCACCTGGCCCTTCGGGCCAGGTGATCTCAAAAGGATAAATCATTTTAATAAGATGGAGAAACTCTGAATTTTCCAACATGGACCAATACTTATTAAAATGCAAATTTACAAAAAACTAAAGCAAAAGCCAAAATGACTAGATTTGATCTGAAAATGATTTAAGCTTACTAGATATCAATATTGAATTTGGTTAAATTCTTATAGATTCTTAACGTAGGCGACAAAATAACTGACCAGCATCATAAATGAAATGTCTAGTTTAACTCATATGAAATGTTTTGCAGTTATATTTTGACTTAGACGATTACTATTAGACTCATCAGCACGTCTTAATCTAATAGTAAAAATAGCGTAAATTTAGATCAGGAAATGGGCTGACCTGCTTTAAACACTGGTTTAACGACAAAAAGATCTTTATCTTTGCCAACCTTTTCCAATACATGGTGAATGTGAATTAAAAAATCAATTTTAACACAAGGAATCAATTTATTTCAATAGTAATTTAATACAGGAATTTCATATTATACCTCCAATATTTCAATTTTCAACAAAATTCTAGCACATAAATATTTAACAAAAAACCAAATTTTTATTTATCCAGAGCAGACAGGACATTACAAATCACGTACTATAATCATGGCCACTCTTTAAAAGCCTGTTGACACCAAATATGTACAAAAGATATTTGTATTGAACATTAATTTTATATCTGTTTTGAATCAATTTCATTTATACCAATAATTCTAATTTGAGTGTATTGAATATTTAGTTCTCTGTCATTTGCACTGTAGCTTTCTTTCCCATAACAACAACTTTTTTTATTTCATCCATCTGTAATTTAGCTTCTGACTCCAAGGATAAAAACTCCTCTTTCTTTTCTTCATTTCCTTGGACTTTCATTATCTTCATTATTAAATCTAAAAAGGCAAATTAAAAAAGTTGTGCAAGTAGCAGGACTGACAATTTGTTAAAGGGTACAGATTGCATATGAGAAGTTTGATAGTTTTAAAAGTACAGTACAATAGTGCAATTATTAAACTCTTTACAATAAAAGACAATTTCTGATGATACATTGCATTCAACTGAATTAATGGTATTTGAGTTTTTGACACTGCAATTTTGCAACTAAAACTGTTGTAATAATCTGGGAATAGTATACTAACAACATATTATGTCCCAGTAATGATTCAGTCCAAATTTGTCTAATATTGGCATATTTTTTCCATTGAAGAAGACTTTCATGTGAGCTGAATTGTACCCAACATATGTCTTTCAACCTAGGTAAAATAAAACAAGTTGAACAGTGCCAGCACTACTGGATTCTGGGTGTCAACATTGTCACTGGATGTATATTTAAGAGGAAATTAAATCATGAAAAAGCTGTCTAAACATTCACCTCATCATATGTACAATAGTCATTTTACCAAGCCTTACCAATTGACAATTTCATTTTCCATTTCCAAAGATATGTGCCTTAACACTACGTTGTATATTCTGTTTGAAAAAAAACAAAAAAACTAGAGGCTCCCAAGAGCCTGTGTCGCTCACCTGATTCTACTTTGGTTTTGGAAATCATGTAATAGTAGATTAAAATCATAACATATACCCTAATAATGATTGAGACCAAATTTGGTTTAATATTGGCCCCGTAATTTAATCAAAAGCAGAAAACTTTTGTAAAGTTTACAGAAATTACCAATAAATTCATTGAAATTGTAGAAAATGAGTTTATAAGGACAATGACAAATCAGCTACAAAGTAACAACACTTGGTCAGCATCTCAAAAGAAACATTCATATCATGTTTGGTTTCAATCCATTAAGCAGTTTTCTAGAAGAAGGCATTTATATATATTTCCCATTGTAGCTTTTGTTAAGCTAAGTCCCCTGTTGGCAGCCATCTTGGTTGATGGATTTGCTACAAAGTAACAACACTTGGTCAGCACCTCAAAAGGAACATTCATGCCATGTTTGGTTTCATTCTATTCAGTGGTTCTTCAAAAGAAGACTTTTGTATGTATTTCACTTGGGTCCTTTGATAAACTAAGTTCCCTGCTGACACCATCCTGGATGATTGATTGGCTACAAAGTAACAACACTTGGCTAGCACCTCATTAGGAACATTCATGCCATGTTTAGTTTCATTCCATTCAGTGGTTCTCTAAAAGAAGACATTTGTATGTATTTCCCATAGGGTCCTATGTTTAATGAAGTCCCCCGCTGGCGGCCATGTTAGATGATTGCAATTGATCTCCTACAAAGTTACATCACTTGGTCAGCACCTCATAAGGAACATTCATGCCATGTTTGGTTTCATTCCATTCAGTGGTTCTCTAGAAGAAGTTCAAAATGTAAAAAGTTAATGATGACGATGACGGATGCCAAGTGATGAGAAAAGCTTTAAAAAGGGCATATGTCTCTGCTAAATTTAAACTTTTTAAAAGAAAAAAGAAAACTGTTTTTCCCCTATGTCTATTTTTAATATATCATAATAATTGTATAATTAACAAGCATTCTGTGAGTATTGCCTGGCAATACATAGTCCCCTACCGGTTAAAAATTCATTGTAGTGGAACAAAATGCTAACTTGATCTTTAACTTGTCATGGTGTAAACTATATAACAAATATCAAGTCAATATCTTCAAGCATGACGAAAAAAATGTGGAAAATTGATTATTTCCACATTGATTATTTGAGGGAATTTTCTAAGTCCAAGGACCATAACTCTGCACAAAATCATCAGGCCCGAACAAAATTCGAACTTGATCTGTAACTTGTCATAATAAAACTATTTACCAATTATCAAATCAATATCTTCAAGCATGACGAAAAAAAGTGAGGAAGACGAAAAAAAGTGAGAAAAACTGATTATTTGAGTGAATTTTCCAAGTCCAAGGACCATAACTCTGCACAAAATCATTAGACCTGACCAAAATTCGAACTTGATCTGTAATATGTCATGATAAAACTATATACCAATCATCAAATCAATATCTGCAAGCATGACAAAAAAAAAGTGCGGAAACTGATTATTTGAGTTAATTTTCCAAGTTCAAGGACATAACTCTGCACAAAATCGTCAGACCGAAACAAAATCTGAACTTGATCTGTAACTTGTCATGATAAAACAATACACTAAAATATCAAATTAATATCTTCAAGAATGAAGAAAAAAAGTGTGGAAAACTGATTTGCTGGACTGATGAATGGACAGACAGACGGACGGAGTGCAAACCTTAAAGTCCCCTTCGACTTCGCCATGGAAATGAGATGTGCTAATGCTTATACAATTGCATACCAATTAACATTGGCCTACCACTAATGGTTCCCCTTGAACTGACCTAATCACAAACTAATACATGTCAACTAAGCAAAAGTTTCAAAGTCAATAGTCCATGACTGCCGGGGCGGGACCAAATATTCTCCATGGAAATGAGATATGCCAATGCTTATATAACTGCATACCAAATATCATTGACCTACCACTAGTGGTTCCCCATAAACTGACTAATCACAAACTAATACATGTAAACTAAGTCAATAGACAATGACTGAGGGGGCAGGGCCAAATAATCTCCATGGTAATGAGATGTGCCAGTGCTAATACAATTGCATACAAAATATCATTGACCAACCACTAGTGGTTCACCTAATCACAAACTAATACATTGTTGACGCCGCCGCCGGAAACAGCATACCTATGTCTTGCTTTTTGACTCCGTCAAGGCGATACAAAAACGAGAAATGAGAAACACCTATTAACCACACCAACAAACGACAACCACTGAACAACAGGCTCCTGTCTTAGGACAGGTGCATAAAAATGCAGTGGGTTTAAATGTTTCAACAGGCGCAAACCTTTACCCTAACCTGAGACAGTAGTGTAACATTACAACATAAAAAGACATTCTATAAAATATCAATTGTAATGGCTTAACTTGATCAAAAATACATTTAAACAAAAACAAGTAAACATACACTGAACAAATGAGTTTGATCTATGAAACAATATAAATACAATATTAAAATGTAGGTGCCTACATAGACGTTACAGGTTGTGATAAAAAAGATGTACGAACAGTGTCAAAAAGACAACTCTAACCTGGGACAAAATGGTGTTAAATAAAACAACGTACACAGGTAAATTTAAATATAATAATTTTGTTGTTAGTACAGAAGTAAATATTTTTTACAAAATTGATAAATTTGTTGTTCAGATTACAAGTACAGAAATACTAACTTATCAAAGATGGTACATATTAAAAATAGTGAGACGAGATATTACACAAAATAAATGGGGAATGTGTCCATGGGACACAGATGATGCCCCCACTTGCATATCATATAAAGTTATAAAGGGACATAACTGAAGAACGGAAAAAGTGACTCTACTCAAATTTGTACTTGATCTGAGTTTTGTGGTATAAGTTTCATAACATATGGTTGAGGCAAACTTAAGTTAGAGAATGGAAACGAAAAATTCAGCTATTTTTCCCTTTGTAAAAAGGCATAACTCTAGAACAGTAAAAGTGACACCACCAAAATTCAAACTTGATCTGTATTTTGTAGTAATAAGCATTGTGTATAAGTTTCATAACATTTGGTTGATGCTAACTTAAGAGAACAGAAACGAAAAATTCAGCTATTTTCCCATTTGTGAAGTGGCATAACTCTTAAACATAAATTTCGCTGGCTTGACAAAAATGAGGTCAAGGACAATGGTCATATGAGACGGAAATTTCATTTTATAAGGCATCTGCATATAAGGTATAAAGCATCCAGGTCTTCTACCTTTTGAAATATAAAGCTTTATACAACTAGTTTATGCAGTTGCTGCCGCAGCTGGATTGTTATCACCATGTCTCACATATGCAAAACAACAAGAGTGCACACGCTGAAATGTCTCGCCTGCTTTACTGACCATTGATTTTATGTTGAAAGTCTTAAAGATAAAGGTTTTACCAAAAGTATCACATAAACTTAACATTTTTGAAGATCTATGAGATTGAGGTCAAGGTCAGATAAATTCTGTCAGACAGACATATACACCTTACAATTTTTTAAAACACCAAATATAGTTGACCTATTGCTTATGGTAATTGAAAAAGACCAAAAAACAAAAACTTAACATAGACCAATGAACCATGAAATGGCGTCAAGGTCAGATTATACCTGCCAGACAGACATGATTTTCTCGCTGCGTTGAAGACCCATTGGTGGCCTTCGGCTGTTGTCTGCTCTTTGGTCGGGTTGTTGTCTCTTTGACATATTCCCCATTTCCATTCTCAATTTTATGTACATCTTACAGTTATTCCATACACCAAATATAGCTGACCTATTACTATAAGACAAAACACAAAAACTTAACATTGATCAATGAACCATGAAAATGAGGTCAAGGTCAGATGATACCTTCCAGACAGTCATGTACCCATTACAAACATTCATACACCAAATATAGTTGACCTACTGTTTATAGTATTTGAGAAACGGACCTAATCAGGTAACTTTAACCTTGATCACTGATCCATGAAATGAGGTTGAGGTCAGGTGAACCCTGTCTGGCAGACATTTAAATGTTGCAAGGAACCCATATGCCAAATACAGTTATCCTATTACTCATAATAAGTGAGAAACTCACATAACAAAAAACTATAATTTTTTTTCAGGCAGTCACTGAATCATGAAAATGAGGTCAAGGACAATGGACATATGACAGACAGAAACTGCCGTAACATAAGGTATCTGCATTCAAGATATGAATCATCCAGGTCTTCTGAACTATAAAGCTTTATACAAATAGTTTACGCCACCGCCACTGCCAGATAGTGATTCTTTAGTCTCGCATACTGTGACGAAAGTTGCAGGCGAGACTTAAACTAAGACCACTTATCAGTAAAATATAAAAAAATGAAGA